TGTCCTGCGAGGGAGCCTGGTGGTCACCCACCTGCTCAGAGGCCCGATTCGGCTAACCGCCAGGACCAGCGAACGCCAACGCCCGCGGTCTCCGCGCGCGCCAGCATGGGCTTGTAGGCCCGTGCCGGTGCGGGTGCGGGTGCGGGTGCGGGTGCCTCCCGCCCACCCAGCAGGCCGCCCGCCGCCCTCGTGAGCCTTTGCTGGGTCCCACCTCCGCGCCCAACATGCCGGCCCCTCCTCCATGCAGAGCTCCCGTCCTGGTCCTAGCGAGGCCTAACAACTGGGTCCAGGTCTGCAGCCGCTGCTCCGGCTTTTTGGGGGAAGGGTTGTCTAGAACCCTGGGGTCCCGTCCCTCGTACCCGGAGCTTCGCCGAGGCAGCGCCATGGGCCTGTAAATGTGACGCGACTGTTACATAAGACAACACGAAGAGGCAGGCAGATGTGTTCCGACTCAGAGCCCCATTTTATGGTCACGTGTAGGCCCGGATGGGTGACAGCGTGCGCGCTCAGCGGAGGGAGGGATGAGACACAGGCGGTGCATCTGCTAGGGGGCTGGGGTGGGCTTCATGAGCCCGGGCTTGGCCACCGAGGGCTTCTGCTTCGTGGCCTTGGGTGTTGAGGAGTGCTTCAGCACAGGCTTCGGCTGGGGCTCCGGGGGCGGGGTTTCGACTTTGACTCCCAGGGCTTTTTTCATTTTATTTCTCATCTTCTTGGTCACCAGAATGGCATCGAGGAAACACAAGATTGCCGCTGCGAGACAGAGCGACTGGCAGATGCACCGCGGCGGGAGGAAAGGCGGGGTTATTTGCAGCTCAGTCGCAACCTCGGCTCCCTGTCCCCACCCCGGGCAGGAGCTGCTGAGTCTCCTGTCCCCTCGGCCACTCCAGGACCCTCTCGGGATCTGCTCAGTGGGCTGTTGCAGGCCCATTCTGCCTTTCCCCAAAAGGGCAATTTTGGAAAAGGTGGGTTTTGCGGCCAGTAGCGGCCTCGCCTGATGCCTGTGGCACCAGGAAAGGACTGGGGAAAGGCGCCCCTGGGAAGCTCGGGGTGGAGTGGTGTCCTGAGAAGGCCTCTGGGCAGAAACGATCTTGGGTTGCGTTTGAAAGGGGAAGGGCTCCTACAGGGACCGACTGGGAGGATCGTACTCCAGGCCCCACACTGGGGCCAGCTCCAGGGACTCTGGTGTGACCTGAGACCTCAGGAGCCGCTGAGACAGGGAAGGGAGTGGAGGCAGCTGAGGTGCAGGAGCTGGAAGCTATTAAGAAGTGTGTGGGGGAGGAGGGGAAGGCAACCAGTAGATGGCTTAACGTATGTTGCTGGACTTCCATGTACTGGACTCAGGTTTGAGTCCCGGACCCGGCGTCCCTAAACTCGTGCCAGGCGTGTGTGCGTGCGTGCGTTCCCAAGATCCCAAGAGGAGAGTGGAGGAGAAGGGATTATGGTGTGGCCATCCCTCCTTGGGCGGGTGATTTCTCGCTTTCTGTCTCTGTTTCTCCTGCGAGTGCATGTGCCTTATGGCAAAAATATCTCTCTCCAAAAAAAAAATTAAATTAAATTAAAAAAATAAATAAATAAAAAAGAAGAGTGATCAGGGGCCACACTGTGACCTGGTGGTTAAGGTGACTAGATCCCACACGGTTCACCACACAGTTTAAGTCACAGACCCAGTGTCTTGAAAAACATGCCAGGCATGTGTCAGGCATGTATGCATGTGTGCCCAAAAGCCTGAAAGGAGAGATGGAGAAGGGATGGGAATGAGACATGATCATACTCCATTGGGGGCGGCCAGGGGGATGCTTTCTCGCTTTCCCCTGTCTCTCTCTAGCATGCCCTCTGGGGGAAAAAAAGCAGTCAAAGGTGAGACACAGAAAACTCATCTGCAGTGGCCATGAGGTGAATGGAAAGTGAACAAGGCTGGAGCAAAGAGACCACTATGGAGTCGGAGTGGGGTGGGAGTGAGAGGGTAGGGGCTGCTCCCTTCCAGGTAAGAACCAATGGAGACCTGGGCATGGAAACCCCAGGCAGCGGCTCCACTGCTGACTTAGCAGATGGGAACCAGTGGCCCAAGGCAATTGATATTCCCTAGTGCTCTGAGACTGCTCTTCAGATGTCTGGATGTTTCTCTTTCCTTTTGTCTTTTCTTTTTTTTTTTAGAAGTTTTTGCTATAGGGTGTGTTTGCTCACCAGAAAGACAGAGAGTGACAGAGAGACAGAAAGCGAGAAATCACTCCCCGGGGGGGGTGGGGGGGATGGCTACACCATCACTCCCCGGGGGGGGTGGGGGGGATGGCTACACCACAATCCCTTCTCCTTCATTCTCCTCTCAGGATCCTCAGCACGCACACACACGCACCTGGCGTGAGTTTAAGCCACCGGTTCTGGGACTTGAACCGCGGTCGACTACATGGGAGTCCAGCAACATAGCCATTATGCTGCTAACTGCTGGTCCCGGATGTTTCTCTTTAAAGTCGGAGGAATCTCTGGCTATTGAATATACTTTCCTAGGTAGGTCTTATCTCAGCTACTCTGTGAGCTCTCCCAGAAGGAAAAGACTATTCCTAGCACTGAGCTCAGGCCTGTCAACCCAATGGGACTATCAAATATTTACTGGTTAGGGAAGGGAATCAAAGAACTTAAACTCTTTTCCCTTCTGGATTAATATCTGACTCCATAGAGTTCTACCTCCCCATTCTCCCCATCTTCAGAGCATCTGATCTGCCATTTCTTGTGTTCTTCCATATGATGAGGGTTTGAGGTCAAGTTTGTCTCAACTTTGTGACCCATGACAGACAAGCTATTTAAGCTCATTTCCTCTGAGAAAAGGAGGGTCATAACAATTAAGTTACAATGTGCCTATCTGGGACCAGGGCTCATACTGGCCACTTGAATGTGCGGCAGGTTTCCTCCTTCCTTCCTGAAGTACTCACTTCTGACAATGCACGTCTCCCCCTGCAACCTCTCTTTTTATCTGTCTTTAAAATATAATTCTCAGGACCAGCAGTTAGCATAATGGCTATGTCGCTGAACTCCCATAGTTCGAGTCCTGGACCCAGTCGCTTAAACTCACACCGGGCGCGTGTGCATGCGTGCCCAAGATCCCCAGAGGAGGATGGAACAGAAGGGATTGCAGCATGGCTAACCCCCCAGGGGGTGATTTCTCGCTTTCTGTCTGTCTCTCTCTGTCTTTCTGGTGAGCTCATGCGCCCTATAGCAAAAACCTCTCAAAAAAAAAAAAATATAATTCTGTTGTCCAGAAAAGTCACAGTTTGGGCTAGCAAGTAGTGTCGGGATCCCACATGGCTGACCGCGCTTTTGCTGTTCAAGGCCCAGAGCTGGTGGTTTGAAAAACACACCAGGCACATGTGCGTGGTTGTCGGAAATCCTGATAGGAAAATGGAGGGGAAGGGATTATGAAATGGCCTTCTCCACTTCCCTGGGGGGGCTGCTTTCTCACTTCCCCTCTCTCTTTATCTTTCTAGTGAGTACACATGTCCTAAGGCAAACTGGAAAAAAAAAAAGTCAAAGTTCTATTCAACAGACTCTTGTTTTTGGTACCTATTTGGAGAATGCGTAATGGAATTATGGTTCTCATGAGCTTAGAGTCTATGCAACTTCACATCATCTGAAGAAGCCTGTGTGAGAAGGAGCAGGGGCGGTAGTGCAGATTGTGTTCTGTTAATGACATAACAGGGGCTTGCTAGCTTCCCTTTTCAGAATCTTGGGAACACTGATCTTAAGTGGAGTCATGAAGGTGTCTACTTACCCCTCCGATGTAGAAAAAAGGTCTTCTTTTCTTTTCTTGCATTGCCAGGGAGGCAACAATTAAAAGGAACACAGCTGAAATTAAACTGTTGATAAGATCCTGTAATACAGAATTGAAAATTGTCAGCTTTACATGAAAATGTTTCATAAAATACTTAAATTGGTCAATTACTAGTCTATGGGTGGATGGGTTAAAAGGAACCCTAGAGGCATAATTCTTACATCTTCCAGAGTTTATGTCATTTTTAAGGTCATGGATAGGTCTACAGAGTGGGTTTAATTTCTTGAAAAATAAAAAACTCCTATAGAAACAAACAAACAACTTGGGCCAGGAGTTGGTATGGTGGTTGAGGATGGCCAACTGTGGTTTGAGTTCTGGACCTGGTAGCTTATTTTCTTGCTTCCCCCCGCCCCTCTCTAGTGAGGGCATGTGCCCTGTAGCAAATTAAATACTAATACTAATATTAATATTAATAATGAAAAATAAAATAATTCTTTATAAAAGATTATTTCAATAATCAATTCTTTTTTAAAAAGAATTATTTCAATTCTTTTTCTCACTTATTTTTATTTGACCAGAGAGAGACATCGAGACAGACAGAGGGAAAGTGAGAAAGCAAGCCACCAGGTCTGGGACTTGAACCATGGTTGGCCATGTGGGAGTGTCCAGCGCCTTAACCACCACACCACCTGCTGATCTCAAATAAATAATTCTTAAAAAAAAAAAAAAAAAAAAAGCTGACAACTTTTTCATCGGACTTTTCTTAAGGGGCATAGGAAAGTGAGTGAGGAAAAACACAGCAGTCTCAGGGCCTAGTCCAAGTTGGTCCTCCCTAAATAAGTACTTTAAATTAATGTAAATTCTGCAATCTATTTTGTAACACATTTGCTTTAATATAAATGTAATATTTTAACTTAGCATTGTCATAATTGATTTAATTCCACTCCTCCATCTGCAGGTCAAACCAATGCTCTGAACTTGGATAACATTTATTCTGTGAGTTTACACATCCCAAAGAATACAGGAACCCACTGAGGAGCGGACCTGATACTCTGGCGTGAATGGCAGTGCTGGCGATTTTTGCTCTTAGCTGAGACATGGCTAGAATTAAGTCTGCCCCAGCACTGACACACTCTTTGTGTCCATAGCTCTAGATGTCAGTTAGAGTTCAGTACTGGCTTCTCTAACTGCTAGCCCAACTTGCTTCTTTGTGTGCTGACATTAAAGATGAGGGGGAGTGGGTAGGATGCCCTACTGAGAGAGCAGAGGCTGGGCTTGGGCAGCAGAGCGATGAAGGAAGACCAAGTACTTGATGCATCAGTGGCGCCAGTGTATGGGAAGGGACGAAGGCCAAGGGTGGGTGATGGACCCACAATATGGCCCAGCTGCCAAATTTGAACATATGAAATCTTTGAGTCTTGATGGCCTGACTTGGTAGTGGCAGCCTACCTGGGGCACTGGGCGCTCTCCATCCAATGCATGGAATCTCAATGGTGTGAGTGGGGCTCTTCAATGTGCTGCGCCTTTCCGAGTCACTATCGCATTTAAGCCTCACTTAGCAGCTCCCAGCAGGGTATATTTCTGTAATCCCCATTTCATGGAGGATAAGTGGAGGCTCAGACCAGCTTATTAGGTTGCCAAAGTTTGAGTATCTGCTGAGGAGTGGAGTTGGAGCTATCACTATCACCTCCCATCGGGATACCCAAACAAGGAGGAAGTGAAGTGTCCAGGCTGGAAACACAACGGCCTGTCCATCTTTGGCATTTTCTGTGGAATGGGTCTGGAGGGTTGAAATGGTATGCCACAAGTTGAGAATGTTTTGCTGATGAGCCCTTTGGACCTCCTAATTCCTAGATGTGTGACCTGGGGTAACCCCTTGGACAGCTTGTGGGTTTTTAACGTGGGGATAATGATTGGATTCATTGCTTGATCTGAAGGTTAAATGGCATAATGAACCTGAAAGCATCTGATAACATGCCTGGCATCTACAGGACAGGAGGTGCAAGTGCCTCAAAATGCCGATTCGTGATCTCTGCCCTCCAAATGTGCAGGCCTAGTGAACTTTCTGCGGACTTCAGGGGGCCTACCTGCAGAGGCTGGCAAGCAAGGAGCCCTAGTGTGGATGTGACTTGTCTCTTGGAAAGGCACTGAAGCCTGCTGCTTTGGCACCTGGTGGCTGACACTGGAATGGGGGCTGGAGCAGGGCTGGTGAGGGTTGGAAGTAGGTCCCAGCTGGTTCTGTGGGCTGAGCGAGAGGTCTGCTCACAGTGGGCAGGCCTGAGCAAGTGCAGTGGTTTGTAGCTTTGCAGAAAGCTCAGCACGTAAGCATTGTGCAAACCAAGATATTCAAACACGGGGGGGTAAGGGCTCTTGCCATAAAAAAGCAGAGTGTGAACTTTACAAATAAAAATTAATGGGGCTGGCAGGTGGCAGGGTGTTTGGGGCACTGAACTCCCACATGGCTGACTGTGGTTCAAGTCCTAGACCTAGCTTTCACCTTCCCTCTCTCTCTCTCTGGTCAAATGAAAAACAAATAAAATAAAAAATTCTAAAAAAAAGAGTTAATGCCTTATAGAAAGGAAAATAAAAATGAGCTGGGTGAGATCTTGATCATTGAGAATTTGGGTGAAAGCACATTAATAATAATGATAAACCAACCATACACTAGGCCCAGCTAATCTTTGATTTCCTGTCATAATTTTACCACCCTGGTGGACAATGGGGCATTATATTCAATAGCTCACTCCAGTCCTTACTGAAAAGAAGTGCTCTGTTGGGGCCAGCAGGAGGTGTGGCGGTTAAGGCACTGGATCCCACATGGCTGACTGTGTGGTTGGAGTCCCAGAACCAGCAGCTTGAAAATAATGCTGGGAAAATAATAAAAAATAAACCAAAAAAAAAAAAATCATGCTGGGCACTTGTGCATGTATGTCCAAAATCCTGAGAGAAGACTGGAGGAGGAAGGACTGTGGCGTAGCCATCCCTCCTGGGGGGGTGATTCCTCAGTCCCCTCCTTTCTGGGGAGCACACATGCCCTATAGCAAAAACTGAAAAAAAAGTGCCCTCCTGTACACCCATTTGAGCTGGCTCTGCCCTTTACCTAATGTTTCGATTGTAGTTCACATTTATTGAGCACTTACGATGTGTCGTGCACTGTGCCAACGTATATGTGCTCTCATTTGATTCTCACAACAAACGCTCACTAGCGCCAGTGTACAGATGGGCAAGTAACTTACCCAAGGTTGCTCAGCCAGGCTGTGGCTGTGCCCCTCAGCGATCTGACTGGAGTGCCCAAGGGCCTTCTCTCTGAGGAAACTGCCTCTCCTTTTCCTTAGACCTAGACCCTCTCATTGGTCTCATCTGAACATGGAGGAGAGCGATGAGGAGACTTAAAGAGGTTAGTAGAAAAATGGAATTAAAGTATGAGTTTATTTTGGTGCAAAAGATTTTTGAAATCCACACCTAGTTTTCTTTTTTTTAGAGGTTTTTTTCCTTAGGGCATGTGTGCTTGCCAGAGAGAGAGAGAAAAAGAGAGACAGTAAGAGGGAAAGTGAGAAATCACTCCGGGGTGGGGGTGGGGGAATGGCCATATGTAGTCCCTTCTCCTCCATTCTTCTCTGGGGATCTTGGGCCTTCACACACGTGTCCAGTGTGATTTTCAAGCAACTGGGTCTGGGACTCGAACCGCGATCAGTTATGTGGAAGTCCAGTGACAACCACTATGCCATCTGCAGCCCCCCTTAGTTTTCTTGTAATATGCTTTTTCCATGAATTTTCTGAAGTCTCCGTGTGTGTTCTCCTGATGGTTTGGGTTAAAATTACAGCTGGGCCTGGCTGCATGCTGCAGGACTGTTGCTTTCTCCATAAATAACGGTCCGTCCTCATGCTGTTTTTCTTTCTCCCTGGACTAAATACCCTGTTGTATCAAGTAGCCCCCTCTGACCAAAATGGGAGCCGGGTTCGCTACCTGACTATTACTCTTCCATAAAGCTCCCAAACCTTTCTCCGAGTTAAACAAGATTGTGTCCAACTAAAACTGAAAAAGAAAAAATTGATGCCTTAATGGCGAGTGCTTGGTGGTTGTTTTTTAAATCACTGAATATTAAAGAAAAATTAAACATTTACAATCTATTTCTTGAAATGCAGTGTTTGTAACAAGAATTTACAAAGAACAAATGTTATCTGGTATTCAACTGCCTACAGCTTTTATTGGTTTCCCTTGTGCCTGTAGTTCTTGGAACAGAGTAGTAATCACTGCAATCATTGTTTTTCCCTGATCTTATCGGAAGGGCACATTCTATAGCGGGTACCTGTTACTTAAAAATGTAGACATTGCTGGTAGTTTTAGGATCATCACTTCTGCAGAATTTTTGTTTAAAAACATGATTATATTCTTGTTTAAGAATTGCTTTCTCTTGGCAAAAACACCTGCTTGACCAGAACTCAGTTCCTCTGACCATGCTGGCTATTACTGGGTTGTCCGAAAAGTAATGATATATTTTTTCTGTTTCGCCATGCAAAAATACTTGTGACTTTTCCAACAACCCAATATGTTTTACAATGTAGAAATGTCTAAAACGTGGGTTATTCAGAAGATGATAATTACAATGCATGCTTGTCTTGGGTATGTTGACAGATAACATGAGACTAGGGTGGGTGAAGTAGATAGTCCTAGAAGGGAAGTCAGTGACCCTACCACAGGTAGGAGAGGACAGTTCTATCTCACTATTTTTACTGCAGAGTCCTGTGGATCAGGCTAGGGTTCCACGTAGCTTAGGGGGTGAGAGCTGGGCCTGCACCCTCCCTGTAGTGTCAGGGTCCCTAGAACAGCCTTCACAGAAGCAGGCAGCTGCAACTCAGAGCCCAGGCTCTCCCATCCATCCAGAGAAGGAAGCTCTGACAACACAGGGTCCCAGAACCCACACATATCAGCAGGTACCTACATCTGGGGCCAGTACCCTCTGAGAGTGCCCCAGTGTATCGGACTTTCTCCCTCTCTGGTGTGACCTTCACCCTCAGGCCTTTGTCAAGCAAGAATGAGGATAGGGAAATAAGGAACTCTCTTCTTTATGAGCCTTTAAGTTGGAAATCACCACATAAAGTCAGAACTCCTCAGCCTAATCCTAACCTACCTGGGAACCAAACCATCTTGCCTAAAGAGAAGGGCTAAGAGTAGGACTAAGGCAGCCATGTGTGTTGGCCACTTCTAACCAGCGGGCAGGCCTTGGAGCCTATGCAGAGCCTGAAAACAGTTCCAGGAGGAAACGGGCTGTATGTTCTGTGTTCTGAACTGACCTTGAGAAAAGGTCCCGGGTGACTCCTGCAGCTGGATGCCAAACATCAGCAAGTCTGCTACCCTCTCTGAGGTGCCCACGGTCCCTGCTCAAATGACCTCAGCTGTGTCTGGGAACCTTCTTCTTGGACTCTATAGCAAAGTATGGTGTCCTGTGGCCCTATCTGGATCTCCAGCCTTACGGCAGTGGGCCCAGCAGGCATGAGTCCCTTTCTCAAAGGGCTCTGGTCCTCCTGACCACAGCTGATGGCGCTATGGGGCCCTCAGTTCCCCCACCCCCGAAGCTGTGAAAACCAATTTACCTTTAGCTCCACATTTTACAAAAACCACAAGAAAAGAGGAGAAGATGCAGAAATAAAATGTAGACTATCTGAGTGAGACATAAAGATGTAGTCTCCTGAGTTTCTTACCTTGAGGCAGGGATGGGGGGACATGTTGAAAAGAAGAAGATAGAGAAACCATCATAAGACAATAGAGTATAAAGTCTGGCAAGATTCTGGGCTTTAGAGTCAGACAGACTTGGGCTCAAATCTGAGTTGCAGTGCACCTAGGTATGCACATGGGCAACTTACTCTAAGCCAATTTTCTCACCTGTTAGATGGGGTGTGGGGGATGACTAGGACCTCACTGGGTTGTTGTGAGGATTAAATAAGGCAATAGGTGAAAAAGTATGTGGCACATGGTCTGTGCTCAAAAACGGTTACTTTACCTTCCCTTCTTGACATTTTCCATGGACAAAGATTTTAGTTTCCCCTCAGAAACCTCTCCATGGTTAGAGCTCTCCATAACTAAGAGGGTCTTCCACATGTCCAATGAGAGTTGCTCATATTTTGCTTTGTCTGCTTCCTGTTGCTTGGCACTCTGTGGGACAGAGAGAGCTCAGCAGCCTTTTCAGAAAACCCCTCACACGTTTGAAGAAAATATTGGAGCTTTAGCTCAGTAGCAACCAATCCTACCTTACAGTTAGCGAAGGGTACTAGCAGGAAGTGGGATGTGGAAGAGGCTTGAGCTCTGAGTTAGGACTGTTCACCGTGCAAGACAGAATGCCAAAACCCATCTAACCACTTTGTGGGGTTTCACGGGTTCTTTTCTTTTGGCAAATCTTTTATTATTTACCTTTCCTCAAGTACTGTGCTGTTGGCTTTGCAACAGTTAACTCTACAGGAACTCTGGGAGGTGGTTACCATCATCCCTTTTCTTTTTCCACATTTCCTAGATGGGGAAACTGAGGCTAAAGTCACATAGTTAGTAAGGTGACAGGGCTGGGCACTGGGTCCACATCTGCTTCTTTACAAACTATTTCTCAAGTCTGAGACCTGAGGAATTAACTGCAATCATTTGTTCAGCTGGTGAAAGTCTGGAGAAAGCAACTGAAGGAAGCTTTTACAATGGCCTTTCCTGGATACTCCACTTTGAGAATATGGCACTCCTTTGAGAATGTGGGCCCTTAACACACACGAAAAGGTTGACTCCTGCAGGCTTTCAAGGTATGCTCAGCAATTTGCTCCATTGTGCCAGCTCTTGCTTTTGGGAGGGATGCCTGTAACCTGGTAGAGAGGGTGGGTGCTGTTTCAAAGTGGACGTGTGCACTGATTTATAAGCAACAGGTGGGGAATGTGATCACCTACTACTGCGTATACTAATGAAATTTTTTTCTTTAGGACAAGCTGAAATAGTATCACGTGTTCAGTGCCAAAATGAGATGGGTTTTGCACTCTGAGCTGAAAGTGTATGTGTGTCGGCTATTCTACAGACAGAGAGGTCCAAGGACTTTCTGGGTATTGGGCTAGTTTCTACCCTGGGACAAGGGCAACACCCTGTCATAACTCTGCTCTGCCTCGATCTAGAGAGAGAGCTCTGTTGTTTTCACTTGAGGAGAGCTCTTACCCTGGGGCTGAGGACAAAGCTTATATTCGAATTACGAAAAGGAACACTTACAAGTAAGGACCACCGTAAACAAGTTAGCAAGTGGTGAAGTGTCAGCATATATGTTATAATGAAAAGCAGGACGATGCAGCTTTCCAGAACCGTGATGGCTATAAACGACTCATGGGCTTCAGCGATGAGGAAGAAAGTTAATGCTCCCACGATAACTCCCTGCAATAAAAGAAAAAGGATTTGTTTCAAAGCTCATGGCTACTAAGAAAACAAAAACGTAAATCATCAGAATGTAAATCTGGTATTGCAATTGTCTACATTGTGTTGCACATATATTTTATTTTGAAAATTTCTTCTATTTTTAAGAAATGAAATAATATTTGAGGGGCCAGCAGACGGTGCAGTGGTTAAGGTGCTTGACTCCCACATGGACTGTGATTCGTGTCCTGGACCTGGTGACTTGAAAAGCACACCGGGTACCTGTGCATACGTACCCAAAATCCCTAGAGGAGAATAGAAAAGACAGGATTGCAAGGTGGCCATCCCCCTGGGGAGTGATTTCTTGCTTTTCTCCTTTGCCTCTCTATAGAGCATGCGTGAATGAAAATGAAATAAATAATACATGCAAATAATTAACATGCACATTGTATAGAAGAGTAAAAAGTCAGCTTCATTCTTCTTCCCCAATTCAACCTCGATCTCTCTCCTTATAAAGTAACCACTATTAACAGTTTATATTGCACAATAGAAATATGTATATATATACTGGTAAAGCAAATATATGTTGATTTTTTTTTTGAGAGGTTTTTTGCTATAGGGTGTGTGCGTTCGCCAGAGAGACAGAGAGAAACAGAGACAGAAAGTGAGAAATCATCCCCTGGGGGGATGGCCACGCCACAAAAATCCTTTCTCCTCCTTTCTCCTCTCGGGATCTTGGGCACGCACGCACACGTGCCCGATGTGAGTTTAAGCCACTGGGTCTGGGACTCAAACCGCGGTGGACTACATGGGAGTCCAGCGACATAGCCATTACCCTAACTGCTAGTCCCAACATATGTTGATTTTGATAGAGGTAGAGCTTCAGTTTTCTTTCTTTTCAAACAGCTGCTGATTATCTCAACATCATTTATTGGGAAATGCCAGTATTTTCCCTACTGATCGGTAGTCCAGTCTTTATTGTATATTAAATTCTCAGATTATTTGGGTCTCTTTTGGATTATTTTCTCCTACAGAGTTGATTTCTTCTACAGTACTTTGAAAATGATAGTCACTTCCTGTTGCATTATCCTTTGGCTCTAGTCCTCCTATATTACTCATTATCAGATGATTTGTCTCCCACAGTTGTCTTGGTCAAGTTCCCCAAACTAAGTTGTTGATATTTTACTTGATTTCATTAACTTGAAATTTGGAAAGATTGTAAAATTTAGTCTTTCTAGTCAAGAATGAAGTATGTCTTTCCAGTTATTTTAGTGGATTTACTTTATATCTCCCAGAAGAGTTTTAAAATTTGCTTCATCTTACTGTTTTGTATTTATTTCGTTTACTCTTAGATTTGGTCATTTTGACTGCTGTTGTAAAGAGAAATATTTTCTTCTTTTAAAAAATATTTTAATTTTATTTATCATTATTATTTCTAGTTTACTACAGGGCATGTGCACTCACCAGAGAGAGACACAGAGAGACAGAGTGAGAGAGAGAGAAAATAAGAAAGCAAGCTGCCAGGTCTGAGACTTGATTGTGGGCTTCCATGTGGGAGTCCAGCGCCTTAACCACCATACCACCTGCTGACCCCCCTTGTGATATATTTTTAAGAAACACAGATGGGACCAGCAGATGGTGTAATGGTTAGCTGGACTCCCACATAGTTGACTGCGTTTTGAGTCCTGGACCCAGTGGCTTAAAACTCACTCTAGGGACGTGTGTGTGCATGACCAAGATTCTGTGAGGAGAATGGAGAAGAAGGGATTGCAGCATGGCCATCCTCCTTTGGGAGTGATTTCTCAATTTCTGTTTCTCCAGTGAGTACACGCACCCTATAGCAAAAATCTCTCTGTAAAAATGAAAGAAAGAAAGAACAGGTGAACTGTCGGATTTTTAAATTAACTAATTTCTTCCATGAGAGGGGCCAGCAGGTGACGTGGTGATTGAGGCATTGGACTCCCACATGGCCAACTGTGGTTGGAGTCCTGGACCCAGTGGCTTGCTTTCTCACTTTTTCTCTGTTAAGCGAGTGTGCCCTCGTGTACACCTCTGACATAATGATCCACCCCACCTTTCAGCCATACCCCTGGTGGACTCAGGGAGATTTTTAGACTTAACTGGGAACCCTCATGGGATTGCCTCCCTCAGCCTGTTTTATTCATTCTCTACAGTATTGCCCCATGAGCTCCACAGGACATCAGTGTTACATGGATTCTGATGATTGTTCAGAAGCATTTCTTTCTCTGTTCTTTGAAAAAGTGTGAGGATGGGACCAGCAGATGGCGTAATGGCTATGTCACTGGACTCCCATGTAGCCGATCATGGTTTGAGTCCCAGACCTGGTGGCTTAAATTTACACCAGGCGCGTGTGCATGCATGCCCAAGATCCCGAGAGGAGAATGGAGAAGGGATTGTGGTGTGGTCATCCCCCTTGGGGGGTGATTTCTCACTTTCTGTCTCTGTCTTTCTGGAGAGTACACATGCCCTATAGCAAAAACCTCTCCAAAAAGAAAAAGTTTGAGGAGTATCAGAATTATATCCCATGAAGGTTTGAAAGATTTAATCTGTAAAAACGTCTGGGCCTGACACATTTTGGAGAGATACTCACTTGGTAATATTCTTTTTGTTCTGTGTTTATATCCATCTCTTTAGGTTATTCTCTATTCTGGGATCAGTTTGGGTACTGATTTTTACTGTCTTAGAAAATCAAACACTTCATCCAATTATTCATACCTTTTTGTTTTTCAAAGTACTACTGTAAATTATTTTCAGTTGCATTAGCGTTTGTGATTATTTCCTCATTCTGGGTTCTGATTTTAAATACACATCCTCTCATTCCTTTTTCCTTAATTAGATTGGCCAGTGCTTTATCACTTTAATTGGTCTTTCGAATGACAGATTTTGTACTAATTCTATTACTTTAGCATGTTAATTTAAAAAATTCTGTTATCTTCATTGCGGCTCAAATTCCCTTTGTGAGGGAAAATCTGAGAAATACAGGGAAAGCTCAGTTTAGTAGGAAGGGTTGTGTGTGGTGGGGGCAAGGGAAGTGGGGAGAAGTGAGTAGCAAAGGGAATTACAGAGGCTTTCCTGATGCAGCACTCCCTGGGCATCACTCCCCTAGGCCACAGCCAGCCTGCATCCTCCCAGCCTGGTCACCAGCCTTCCGCTCACCAGCCTCAGGATCTTCAGCATTCCAGTGGGCGAGAAGAAAAAACGCTTGATGCTGTCCCTAAATTTGTGCGGGACTTTGGCCCGGCCTTCAGCGCGCTTTTGGATCGCTGCCTTAGCCTTCTCATTGTCGGGCTCAGGGAGTCCAGAGGGCTGCAGTTGCACGGGCTCCGCAGGTGGCTTAGACTCGGTCTTCGAGGGTGGCTTAGACTCGGTCTTCGAGGGTGGCTTGGGCTTGGGCTCGGCCTTCTTAGGCTCAGCCTTCTTTTCTGGACGTGCTACGCGTGCAGACTTCACTGAACGTGCGGAGGGCGCAGGCGGCCCGGGCTGAACTGTTTGGGAGGAGCGCGCTGCCGGGCGCACGGAGGCTGCCGGGCGCACGGAGGCTGCCGAGCGCGCTGAGCGGCCGTGCTTCCCTACAGGTTCTGGGGGTTCCGAGTCCTTGGGAGGTGCCTCAGTCGACTTGGGATCCATGGTTGGCCCCCGGGGCCGATCGTGTCAGGCCGGCCCTGTGGCTCTGAACCAGCACCGCAGCAGCCGGCTCTCCTCTGGGAACCAGCGTCGCGCTCCAACGGCTGGCGTTCGGTCGCGCCCCAACGGCTGCCGGCCTCTCGCGCGCAGCTGGCTCACAGATCCACTCTCCTGGCCACCGGGTGGAACGTCACCGCCCAGCCTGAGGAACTGGGTCTGCTCACTCCACCTTTTTGTGCAGTCAGCCGGCCAGGCAGGCAGGTGACCCTGGAGGCCATGGGAAGCCAGCACTCCCAGGAGTTGCAGCCAGCTGAGCGCTGGACTCGGAGTTCGGAGTTCTTTTCCTTTAACCCCCATACTGTGATAAAAACGAGAATTGCAGAAAATATGTGGAAGAATAAAGAAGTATGTTTAATACTTAGTATCAACAAAAAGGGACTATAAAATTACAAAACTTCTTTTTTGTCATGATCAGGCTTTTTCTGGTAAGGACCGCTTGGATTAAAGAGAAGCTTCCGGTAGATAAGGGCCCCGTCGGCAATAGCGCACACTGCTGTCACGAGTCCAAACACCTGGAAACAAAGACACAGCGTCACTGCCCCAGCCATGGTCCTGACCTCTCACCCACACGAGTTTTAAAGGGGTCTGTCCACTGGATTCTTGTCCTGCTAGCGTCCTGCAATTGCTCTTGCACTGCCACATAATTCTTTATTTATTTATTTTTTTTGAGAGAGTTATTTTATTGCACTTTATTTATTTATTTTCATTTGACCAGAGAGGGACAGAGTGACAGAGACACAGAGAGGGAGAGAGAGAGAGGGGGAGAGAGAGAGAGAGAGAGAGAGAGAGAGCAAGCCGCCAGGTCCGGTATTCAGCACACTTAACCACCGCCACCTGCCCGTCCCACCCATCAGGTAACTCTAAAAAGGGAAGAATATTTGGAGATCATGTACTCTTTTCATTGCCAAGTTTTGCCAATTCCTGTCCAGAAAGGGAAAAGATACTCTGGGCAGAATAAGAAGACTGGTGTGGGCTCTGAAATAAGACCGGTCTTTATCTCTTGACTTGCTCCTGTGTATATTTTTTAAGCCCTACTGGTGATATTTAATGCATCCATCAACATTTCTCAGTGTTCAACTATTTGATGTTCTCATTGCCAAACTCTACTGGAGAAAAGGTCGAAGTTGACACCAGCTCAAGATAAAATGATGGGGACTACAGCTGTGATCAAAACTTTTGGGAGTGGGGTCAGCAGGTGGAGTGGTGGTTACGATGGACTCCCATATGGCTGACTATGGTTCGAGTCCCAGACCTGACAACCTGCTTTCTCTCTTTACCTCTCTCTCTGGTCAAATTAAAAATAAATAAATAAATAAAGTTAAAGTAAGTAATTCTTAAAAAATGTTTTTGGGAGTGATAGGATGATTCAAATAAAACGCTCAAAGGCTGGGCTAGAGCTGGGTAGGGTAGGATTCTAAATATGCCTTAGGAAAATAAAAATGTGGTAAAAGTAATAAACTAGAACACAAGAGGGCCTTTGCGTACTCTGGCAGCTATTAGAGAGCTGGTGCCTGGATTAGGGGGATGTCCTTCCTTACAAACCATTTGGTCAGCTTCGTCCAAGGACCAGGAAGTTTGGCTTCCTGGCTCCACACAGCTCCCACAGCCTCCTTTTCCTCCCAAAGTCTCAAGCCACGGCCTGCCAGGTTATGCTGCTCACACTAAACACTTCCTGCCAGTTCCCCTGTGACTCTGGCATCCTGCACACTGCTGGTTCCCCCATCTATGACCTTTCCCCTTTCCCCCCTTTTATTCAATACTGGTGAACTGCAAAACACTGCCAGACAGAGGTAGTTGCTTCCTCGTTTCTCTTCCCCACAGCACTGTCAACAGTTTATATACAGCTGTTTGCACTTCTGTCTCTTGTATTACTGTAAGCTTGAGCACAGGGCCCACACTCTAGCCCAGTGCTATCTGACAGAACTATGTGGGTCATCAATGTAAACCACATAATTCACTTAAAATTTTCATGTAGCTATACGAATAAAGTAGAGGGGGAAAAAAAAGCAAGTAAAATTGATTTTAATAATGTATTTTATTTGATCAAAAATATCATTTAACATGTCATCAACATAATACAATTTTTTATAAAATAGCCTATTTCTTAGGGGTAGTAAATCTTTAAAATTTAAGCTGTATTTTGTACCCCTGGCTCATCTCAGTCCTGACCACCACATTTCCAGTGCTCAGTAGCTACCTGTGGCTAGTAGGTGCTTTATTAGATAGTATAACTCTATAGTTTGTCAGTACCTGCCAAAGTACGCCTAAGGAATGAAGAAATGAATGACCGAGTAAATGCATGAATGAAAATAAATCCTATGCCTGGTCCTTCTTTCTTTACAGTAGAAGGATAAGACTTTTTTTTTTTTTTTTTTTTTTAAGAGGTTTTTGCTATAGGGCACGTGCACTCACCAGAAAGACAGAGACAGAGAGACAGAAAGTGAGAAATCACCCCCCCACCCCCCCACAAGGGGGATGGCCACGCCACAACCCCTTCTCCTCCATTCTCCTCTCGGGATCTTAGGCATGCACGCACATGTGCCCAGCGTGAGTTTAAGCCACTGGGTCCGGGACTCGAACTACGGTCGACTACATGGGGAGTCCAGAGACATAGCCATTGTGCTAACGGCTGGTCCCAAGGATAAGACTATCTTTAAAAAAATACAACTGGGAGAGACTGCTGTAATAGTGCTGTCTTAGTTCTAGAATTCTGATTCCTTGTTGCTTAGGGCCTAAGAGTGATAAAACCTATGGGTCCTGACATATATGACAGTCTGTGAGTGATGAATTCTCCAAAGTAGCCCCTATGTCAGAAAACAAAGAAATAGGAATGAGGGTTTTTTGTTACTATTATTATTATTATTATTTTTTGAGAGACTTTTGCTATAGGGTGTGCATGCTTGCCAGAGAGACAGAGCTAGAGAGAGGAAGTGAGATATCACCGCCCCCCCCAGGGGAGATCGCCATACTGCAATCCCTTCTCCTCCATTCTCCTTTCAGGATTTTTGGAACACATGCATGTGTGCCTGGCATGAGTTTCAAGCCACTGGGTTCAGGACATGAACTGTGGTTGGCCACGTGGAAGTCCAGTACCTTAACCACTACATTACCTGCTGACCCAGGAGGGAGATTTACTTAAGAACTTTTCTAATTCAATTATCTAAATCAGAATCTACAAAAAGCAAATGATTTTGAACCTCCTATAAAAAAAAAAAAAAAAAAAAAAAACTCAGCATATCAGATGGAATTATAATTAAATTACTTGATTCTTTTGTCTTGCTTTCTAGGACAAAGTCTGATTAAATTGATTTGCTTCTCTTTAAGCAGTGTTCAAAATAACCCTTTAGTGGTAAGTCTTCCGACTAGCATTTCTTTATCACAAGGACATCTTCTATTATATTCTATCTGAAGAAAGATCTGAACAAGAAATAATTGAGCTCAGAATAGTCTGTATCACCTTCCTAAGTGGTAGGTAGTCTCTTTAAAAGGGAGAGCAGTGGTGGGGAGAGCTATGCAGGGCCATTAGGTGGTATGGTGGTTAAGGCACTGGACTCCCACATGAGACCGAAGTCCTGGACCAGGAAGCTTGAAAATCACTCTGGGCATGTGCGCCTGCATTTACTGAGAGATGAATGGAGAAGAAAGTACTGCTGCATGACCATCCTCCCGGGGAGTAATTTCTCACTTTGCCCCCTCTCTTCCCTGAGAGCACACGTACCGTATGGCAAAAACCTAAAACAATAAAAAATAAAAAATAGAAGGGAGAGCTATGAAACTCATTCACATGCTTTGCTTTTGCTTGACATCAGGTTTCTCAGAACTAATTCTGTAATTGATTCTAGTAGCTTCTCTGAGGCTAGTCTAGCCCCACGAACCTGTGAGAAATATGTAAGAATCTCTTTCATTGGTTAAAACCTCATTTCTAGTTCTAGAAATCATATTTTTTCATGTCAATGAGCTCATGCCTTCACACAACAAAATATTAAGCTGTATACTGCTCTAGGAGCCTCAAAGATGAACAAAGTATAGCTTTCTATTCTTTTATATGTTGTTAAAATAAATCTGCATTCTGATCAAGTCTGAAGGAAGAAATCAGAAAGACTGTCACTTACCCCTCCAAGGACTGTCAATGTTGTAGTTTCTGGTATTAGTGCCAACACAGATATAATGACCATGAATACCGTTGTAACCAGTGAGTTGATAATATCCTAAAAACATAGAGCACAACAGGTCAGCTTGGCGTGAAGACCACCAAGCAATGTTTATTTGGGGAAAAATAAAAAGATAAGTTCCCTAAAGATTTTGGAAGTTCCATTTTATTAAACAAATTCACTTAACATATAACTTTCTGGAAACCAGAATGACACCTAGGTAGTATTTGGTCTACAACGACACCTAGTGGTTCTCTTTACTTAGACCAATCACGTAACAAGACTTTTTACTTAAATATGTTGTAGGGAGAGCTTATCTGATTAGGAAAGTGGGTGATGTGTTATGCACATTTATGTGAAATAGTCTCCATTATACATCAAACAATCAGGTCCAGCTCCGGAGTTCAGACTGAGTAGGAGGTATGTGAGGTACTATGAAGATCCTATCTATTCCTCAGCTTTCCCCTTTTGGGACTTATTAAGCTTGTGATTAGTCTGGAATACTCATCACTGGCCTCCAAAGGTGATTCTAGAAGGCATGCTTATGGTTTGAGCATAGCTACAAAGTTCTCTTTTTATTTTTGTAAAGAATTACTTTATTTATTATCACTATTATTAATTTCCCATAAAACACATGTGCTCACCAGAAAGAGAGAGAGAGAGAGAGAGAGAGAAAGTGAGAAAGCAAGCCACTAGGTCCGGGACTTGAACCATGATTGGCCATGTGGGAATCCAGTGCACTGACCATCACACCAATTTGTTGACCCCAAGTTCTCTCTCTTGAACAGGAGTTATCAACTGGGCTATCAGCACTTTGGAATCCAAGAAGATTAGACAAATGCTTCAGAGGAACAAGTGATACCTACCACCCTAGCTGAAAGGGAAAGGT